TAGAGCTGTCTTATGCAGCACATGTGTTAGCATTTTAGAAAGTTACAGGGCCAATTAAAGCTACAACTCTGGCTAACACAGTAAAAGCAATCATATCATAAAGTGCCTCAAAACAAATATCAGAATGAAAATGAAAGATAAAAGTATTATATTAAGGCAGAATGCCTAGAAAAATGTAGATAATTCTCACATCTGTTAAGGAAATAGAATAAAGCAAATTTAAAATTAGAGTAAAAAATATGAAAATCAGATTCATTGATGCCTAATTTGCTTTCATTTATCCCAATCTATCTATAAAAAATCTATTTTGAGGCTAGACACTTGGAGAAATTGCACAATGTAATCAGTGATTTTGATTTAGAATTCCTCAGAAATTTTTACCTCAATGGACTAACCCACTCATTTTAAATAGTTAAATAATTCATTTGTATTATATGTATTAAACCTTTAAAAAACAATGTTCTGCAGAAGAATGATAATACAAATACTATACTATAGAGGCAAAGCAGGGAGAACATCTGATTTTAAAAGTCATGGATATCAATGCAAAAGTGATTGGTAATGCTAAATTCGTTTATACATGCCAAGGTGTGTATGTGTGCGTGTGTGCGTGTGTGTGTGTGTGTGCGTGCGTGTGTGTGTGTGTATACAGTATGTATGTATGTACACATATATACGCAGACACATAGTGTCACATACACATATACATACACTTACTCATAGTAAATCAACAAAGGCAATCCAGTCTTTACAGGGATTTCCAGTATTTAAGATAAATCATAGAGAAGGTTTTTTCCTCACATACATGTTAAATATACTCCCGCTACTTCAGGATAGAAAGAGTGCTTTTCCCTAAGATGAGGAAAACCACAAATTACAAACTACTTCTTTTGCAGAAGATTTATTTCCAGAAAAATAGGACCTACCTTTATATATATCTGAACTGGCACATTCTGGAAGAAAAACTTAATTTTCCAGTAGACAGTTGAATGTTCCATGGTATGGTATGTTTGAATTTTGTATATAATTATTATTTATTTAATACATTTCTGTACTGGTTCCAATATACTTCCTTCTCAAGGTCTTCAACTCCCCAAATTCTCCAACCAGTTGGTATGTTGAAATCTATACATCTCAAAGTTGCCAGTGTTCAGAAACATTGGTTGTCAATACCATTATTAAAATTCAATTAAAGCAGTAGAAGATTGATGCCAACCCTCTAAGGCAGACCGCACTTGGAGACCAAAAACATATAAGCTAATATTACTTTTATTATAGGGTTACAGTAATGGAATCTTCCCTGCATGTGCTTCCTCCCTTTATTTTCATGAAAACTAGACAGAGTTATGCCTGAGATGCTGTCTCAAATTACATTTATGCCTCTGACTCAGATTTTTTTTATCTGAGTGTTGTCCTGCTCTTCTTCCTCTACCTCAAAGTTATTCCTTCTGCCCATTACAATTTCTAAGAACTTGTGCCACCATAGGAAATTCCTCTCCCCAAATAACTCACACAGGAAGGCAGTTTGATTTCCTCTAATCATCTCAGTGATCAGTCAGGCCTGTAGTGAAGGAAACAGACTGCCACATATACTTAAGATCTAACACAGGGGTAGTCAACCTTGGCTCTTTTATGACTCGTGGACTTCAATTCCCAGAATTCCTGACCCAGCTTAGGTTAGCTGGCTCAGGAATTCTGGGAGTTGAAGTCCACAAGTCATAAAAGAGCCAAGGTTGACTACCCCTGGTCTAACACATCAAAACCAAATCCTGAACTTGACTTGGTAGCCAATTGTCTGCCAGTTAGAATCTTTATGTTAGAATTTTTTTGATCACTTCTATGTGCATGTTTTCAGTAAGGCGTTTAAGGTATGCAAAATTAATTGATTTATGCAAATAAAGCACCATAGAAGATACTTTCAGATGAATCCAAGAATTTATTGGAAGAATTCAAATACCCAGATGTAAAACAAGCTAGCACCTGTGTTAAAATGTCCTTTAATAACAGAACAATGAAACAAGGGTGCTGGGGTCCATCACTGTACAATTTATCACAGCAGAGGTTTTCCAGGAAGCACCCGGAGCTCAGCGGTTTAGAGTTACACAGTTTTAACTTAGCTTGGAGTTCCAAAAGCTAAACCAGCAGAGTGGTTGCTGGTAAGGGTGATTGAATTCACATAGCTTTTGCGATCTAGTAAGAACTTTCCTTAGGAAATTCTTTAGCAATCCTACTGGAATCTCTGGACCAAAACTGAATAATATTTTTATAATGTACACAGACACCAACAAAGGTATTTCTGGGAGGAATTTTTACCACATACAAAAATAAGCCTTGCTCCTGCTTCATAACAAATAATTAATAGTCTCTTTGGATAGTGAGATTGATGGCATATTAATTTAATAAATAAAATAACAGAAAGTGGAGCTATGATAGACTCAGTATTCAAGCTTGGACTACTTTGGTCTAGTTTGGTCTAATGGTTATGGCACCAAGCAAAAAGTGGGAGACTGTGAATTCAAATCCTATCTTAGCCATGAAAGGCAACTGGATGTCCTTGGGCCAGTCACTCTCTCAGTTAAATCCACCTTATAGAGTTGTTGTTATAGGGAAAATAGAAGGAGGACTAAAAGGAGAGGCAACCTAGAACTAAGAAGAAATTTCCTGACAGTTAGAACAATTAATCAGTGGAAAAACCTGCCTTCAGAAGTTGTGAATGCTCCAACACTGGAAGTTTTTAAGAAGAGATTGGAATGGTGTAGGGTTTCCTGCCTGAGCAGGAGGTTGGACTAGATGACCTCCAAGGTCCCTTCCAACTCTATTATTATTATTGTTGTTGTTGTTTGTGGAATATGTTTGCTGCCTTGGTTATTTGTAAGAATAATAAAAGGCAGGATATAAATAAATAAAATTTCAAAGCTCTCCATAGCCAGTTGCCAAGTGAAGTTTAATGAGATAAAAAGAACTAGAATAGGAGTCACAACATAAGGAAGTCCTCTGCAATGATCTACTTGCCATTAACATATTTTTATCTATGTCAATTCCAGGTTTCAGTGGGAACTTACACCAGCACTTTGCTACTATGAGCTTCTATTCCCAGACAAAACATTGACATGTTGTTTGTGACGGACCACCCACAAAGGTGACACAATTATGCCCTTTGGCAAAACAGGAAAGGATTTGTATACCTCAGTTATAAATCTCATATATGCAAACACATACATGCATACATATGAACTAGGAGTTAAGCTGAATGTAAAATTCCATTAATTGCCAATATCCTATGTCTCATACAGTTTATGAAAAATGTAGGCAAATTAAGCTGCCAGCTAATAAAGTAATATTAATCAAGAAATATGATGGCAATGAGTGCCTTAACAGAATTTGTGTTGGCATTTCTCCTGATTCGTAATTTTCTCAAAAATATATTCTTAGTGATGAAAGAGATCTCTACATAGTAATAAAACTGGTTTAACTTTTATGAATAATGATTAAGACATACCAGACATATTTTAGGATGGCAATAAACAGAGTCATTTTATTGTGCAATGTATCAGCTCGCTTCAGAAGTTATTATAGTATGTTCTAATATGTTTTTATTTCCAGCAACTAGTCATAATATTAATAATAATAAGTTGACCAAAGAAACTCCAAAATATTCTTTGGACATGGTCCTTCAGTAGTAATTTGATCAGATCCAGAACTCAGGAACTACTATAAGTGTTAACTCTAGTTAGTCTTAGTCTGGCTAAAGAAGTTAAGTAGCATCAATTACATAGGTTATGTAGAATCAGTGCTGATTAATATTTGGATGAGATTCTTCTAGGCAACACAAATGTTGTAGACTAGATGGGAAATAAGACAATAACCAAACACTTCTTTATTGTTATGAAGAAAACTGCATGGATATATCCATTAAGCCATCTTTGGTTGAGCTCATCTTGAAGACGTTTTAATGTTTTATTAGTTTGAAACTGGAAGTTCAGATCCCAAATACCCATGATTCAATATCTGAAAAAAATAAATTAGTGACTTTGACATTTCATTAGTTTCATTTCTAACTAATTGGCCAGGACTAACTGTCTGAATTCATGGGTATCTACAAAAGGAGGGCAAGTGATAAAACATATTTCATAATGTCTTCCCTCTTTACTTTCTTGAAGTACAAAAGGCAGAATTTGACTCATGATACCATAAATCCTTTTTTAAATTTTGCCATCAGTGTGGAAGCCTCCTTTGTAATTAAAACCCATGGAAAACAGACAAAACAGACCAAACCCAAACTCAAATGAAATTAATCAGTAAATCCAAATGTCCCAATAATAAATCACATTAATGTGCAATGACTTGTGTGAGCAAGCAAGGCAAGCAATTTCAGCAAACAGTAGCTCAAAATGGCAGATTTTAATACCCCCCTTTCCCCAACACTCAAATGCAAAATAAGCCTTATTACTTGCAAAGAATAATATTTGTCTGATGAGTTCTTCTTTCCTTTGCCACCTTGTATTTTCTATGCTAAGACTGGTCAGTTGTCTGGCTGGTGATTTAGACACATTTTCTCAGCTGAACCAACTTTAAGATGTGTGGACTTCAGCTCCTGGAATTCCCTAGCTATTCTGGGAGTTAAACTCTACATATCTTAAAGTTGCTGAGATTAAGGAACATTAGTTCAAACCAAGAAATACAGTATCCATACTGAAGAAGCCAGCCCCAGGGAGTGTCCTCTAAAGGAGAAGAGTCTCTTCCTCCTCTTCTTTGTCCGTCCTCAAGATTTCCAACACAACTTCTGAAGGGTAGTTTTCCAAGTATTTTCAAAATGTATTCTAACAATATTCTAATTGTCGTTGTGTGTGTGGGGGGGGGATCCATTCAAAATTGTCATTTTTGAAAACTGGAACAGGTAAATATTCAAGGCAGTTTTTATTTTAATGTTGAGGACAATAGTAAAAAAGAAGGTACGTAAATGGGAAAAAATCCCTTGTGTCCTCCTTTTTATTTGGTACCATTTGATAAACAATGACTTGACCCAGAACCAGCACTTCAGACTTGATCTGTCAGACTGTTGAAAGTGTGAATAACTATAATAGGGTTTTGCCTACAGTCCATATCCTCTTCACTCCAGCATAATGGCCTGAGTTTTAATATATATTTATAATCTATTAAAGCAGCTTGAAGAACTCTAGGCATCTGGCAAAAATGCAAATTTCTTCAATTGATTATTTCTATCTCTCCCAAACAGTGATGAAAGCAAGTGATTGCAAGCTAACTTCCTTCATTTTAAAGGAAGAATTCTGTCACCTAAAATAAAATAAAAGGGCAGGCAATTCTGAGATAGAAAGAAACTGAATTTAGAAAAGTTCCATATCTGCAGCCAATATAAACTGTCGTCATGTACAATAGATTTATGAGAATATTTATTCAGTGATTCTACACTTGGGAAGAAGAAGAAGGAGGAGGAGGAGGAGGAGGAGGAGGAGGAGGAGAAGGAGGAGGAGGAGGAGGAGGAGGAGAGGAGAAGGAGGAGGGAGGAATAAGAAGGAGGAGGAGGAGGAGGAGGAGGAGGAGAGGAGGAGAGGAGGAGGAGAGGAATAAGAAGAAGAAGAAGGAGGAGGAGGAGGAGGAGGAGGAGAGAAGAAGAAGAAGAGAAGAGAAGAAGAAGAAGAAGAAGAAGAAGAAGAAGAAGAAGAAGAAGAAGAAGAAGAAGAAGAAGAAGAAGAAGAAGAAGAAGAAGAAGAAGAAGATTCTGTTTCCTAAGGTAATTCCCACATACCATTACAATGCTAGAGCAGCCCATTTCTGCTGGGTTTGGGTTCTCAATTTTCAAAGACTTTTATGAGGAAGCTTGGTAATCATCTCTCAAAGATTTTCCTGATCAGTGAAGAGAGGTGGAGTAAATTATCCTTTGGTCCCTTCCAAATTCACAATTCTATAATTTTTCTCTTTCCTTCTCTTTTATGTGGTCTGCAGAAGGAGAAGAAGAATTATACACATTTGTCATAGGAAAATACAGCATGCTTCTCCTTCCCAAGTCTACAAGTTTAAGTTATATAGATCATGCCTCATTTTTCCTCATTCACATAAGCAGATGCTTCTGAATCCTGGACAATGTTCTGGTTCTATAAAATATAGGTGATATTATTTGCAGACTGTTAAATTATTGTTTTCCACTCTTTCTTCTATCCCAATCTGGTATAAAACAACTAACGTTATGTGAAAATTCACATGGTTGAACCTGAATACCCTATCCAGTGGGCAAATTTCAGCTAATTAATGCTGTAGGATTCCATGGCATGTTATAATGATAGTAAAATCATGGCACACTTGCAGTGACCTCACTATACAAGCCTGTCTTTTTTACTTGCATACTTCACAGGGTTTGCACCATGAAATCATGACACACGTTTTTGTCCCTTGCCCACCACTGTGCAGAAGTGTATCAACATTACTGTCCCTGAGATCATAATTGACTGTCAGAGGTAATCCACTAAAGTTGGGTCAAGGGAATTCAGCCAACCTGTAACTTGAGTTCCAGAATAAGAAGTGTGTTACTTTGACAACAGTATTCATTACAGACAACATTGTGCCGCTATCCAACAGAAGTAACTTAGAATTTAATTGCTTAGATTTGGATAATCATTGTGCATTTCAATCATTTGAACTTGTACCTAGTGAAAATAACTCTCCAATTAATCCCCTTTTGATATGCCTGCTAGGCCCATTGTAATTGGATTGGATTGTCCACAATGCCCAATGTCATATGCCATCTTAACTCCCCCTCCCTCTCATCCTACTGCAGACATCCATGATCAGAGTTTACCTTATATAATTGTATGGGAACAAAAGTCCAATGCCATCTTTGCTTTTCTAGTGAGAGAAAAGCATGCACCTGTTCTTCCTCTGTTCAGGGAATAAAATGCATGCCAAAGAAAGCAGTGCATTCTGGGAAGGTTTTCCTAAGACAGCATGCACTGAGTTGAGCCTGGCATAACTGGCTTTTTGCTCCAGCATTCGAAAGACCAGAAGAATTCAGCAAATCAGGACTTACCAGTCTATAATTTAGGCATACAGCACAGAAAGCCAAGAAAATATTGACAAGAAGCCATCTCTTAAATGTGTAGCAACACTTCTCTGTTCTAAAAGTCAACCTCCTGCTGCTCACATTTGTATTTAATTTGTGAACAGTAGGCAGAAATTTGGAATTCACAAACACTGAATTCCTCCCAATCCATCACATATTTTAGTTTGAGAAATAGTTATTAAAGTGACAGTGTTTTTTTCCCCAGCTGAAAGTCTGCAAATGAAACATGTCCACTGACCCACAGAGAATATGATTACTTTTATGCCATGCAAAGGACCTCAACATCATGTTAAGAATGATGCCAGAAAACTGACATAGGGATTTTTTTTAAGAAAAGTGTTTTTAATACTTTGTGAAGAGGCATATTTAGAGAAAATGGCAAGACAAATATTTCATGCACCCAGCCAAAATAGTTTCAATCTCAATGAATAGCTTTGCTGATGGACTTCATTTTAGAGCATAAAAGATGCATATGTTTAACAATCAAGCTTAAATCTATAAAGAGTTCTTTGGATGAAGAATCTGAGACACCATTTAATGTTCCAATGACGATAAAAAGTATTCTTGAGAGAAGGCAAAATATGACAAGAAAGAGTAACTGGGTTCATACATGATTTTGATTTGCTGAATAAGCTACAAAGCTGCAAAGGGTTGGATTCAAATAACTTGCAAAATCATGAGGCACATCTTAAAACCATATTGGTCAAATTTAATGGCAAATAAGTTTTAAAAAACCCTACCCATATTCTATATTAGTGAAATGTGTGAACTGACAATAACTGCCACAGATTATGTAATGAACTCCTGGGGTAGATCCAGTTTAAGGAACTGAATGGTAAATTGTCAACTGTGCAACAAACCTGGTGAAGCCATCTTGCTCATTCTAGGTTGCCACAAGAATGGGAGGGGGAAGTGGAGGTTTTCTGTAGTCTAAACAATATGTCCTATGGGAACCAAAGTCATTTCTGTCGGTTGAATTGGGGGGTTGAGCATTCTATCAGAAAGCCCGCCAAACTATTCTATTGGGAAATGTAGTAAATTGCAGAGTACAGGGGTGGGGAGTTTAACTTTGTAATATTGTAACTCTGTGGAGGGAATTTCAGACTTGGTTTCACTTTTGACTGTGCCAATACTATGTAGCCAATAAACATGTTCTTTGAGGAAACTGCCAACCTTCAGAGTTCTGATTTATTTGGTCTCATCTATTGGAACTATGACATTAATAGTTTTGGGTTCTAAGATATAATGTGCAAATATTAATACTGTTCTATCATAAGCTTTACAATGACTATAGCACTGTTGATAATTGAAAACAATTAATAAATTATATTAATAAAAAGTTAAAGATTCCTTTGAGGTTAATTCAACTCCAGGCGACTACATGGACATAGTCATGTTTGTTTGTTTTTCTTGGAAGAATATGAAAGTAGTTTGCAATTGCCATTTTTCCCAGTTTTTTAACTTCCCAATCTAATCTAGTCATAGAATTGAGATGCTGCAGAAGCTGTGCCACTTGATGGAACCCCAAAAAATAGTCCTTCCCTCTCATGGCACTTTAAAAGAGAAATAAACTTCAATGGCCTATATTAAGATAACACTACTCTAACAGCTGAAAATGCAAAGTATCAGCAAGCTCTAGTAATGAAAGTCAAGGAGTCAAAAAATGTAATATACCTATAGAAGAATGGATGCTTAAGGTGTCAAATTTAGCAAAAATGGCTAACATTTCTGCTTATCTGAAGGATCACTCACAGGAAAGATACATTTCGGTCTGGAGAAGATGGATAGATTATATTCAGAATAAATATGGGACTAAAAAGTTCCATCTAGTTTATGAGTAAATTTTAGAATATTATTATTATTATTAATAGTTTATTATAGTAAAATTTTTATTAGTTTTATTATTATTTTAGTATTAGTATTGTTTAACAATTTGGATATTGTATTGTTTAATAATTAGGATATTAACTTGTTTATATTATTATGTTTACTTTTAATTTGTTTATATTTATGTTAAAGGGGAGTTAAAGCGCATTATGGACTTGGTTATTTATATAGTTGGTTAATGTTAGTTAGAGTATGATTATTATATTTGTAACCCTGTACTCAGCTCTGGGAAGTGGGGGAGGGAAAGGGGGGAGGGGGTTAGGGTGGGTGGGCTTTGGGGTGTATATTGTAACTTTTATAAAACTTTTCAATAAAAAAATGTAATATAGAATTAAATATAAAGAAGACCAAAGAACAGGTAAAACATCAGCCTTAGAACTGACAGTGAAAATACTGGTGGACAGCTTCTGCAAGCTAGTTATGGCCTGGAAGTTAAGGCATCAGCCTAAAAACTGGAAGACAATGGGTTCATTCCATCTTGGGCACAAAGCCAGTTGGGTGACTTTGGGCTAGTCACTTTCTCTCAGCCCTAGGAAGAATGCAATAGCAAACCACTTCTGAAAAAAAACTTGCAAAGAAAACTGCAGGAACTTATCCAAGCAGTCTCTGAGAAACAGACATGACTGAACAGAAGAAAGAAAATCAACTATGAAGGAACCAGCAGTCAAGAAATATGCCACAGGCTAGCACTTAGAAGAGTGAAGCCCAGTTCCAGGGTTTGTCTATACCTGCATATATCTGAATTGTACAAAAAGTAGTTTTCTCAGTGGAAGCAAAAGTTGTAGAAAGTATTGATGTTTTTGAACTTTGATGTTAAAGAAGACTCCTGAGAATAACAAGGCTAGTCACTGAAACAAACAAATTGATAACTGAACTAATCAACCCAACATTCTCATTCAAGACACTTGTGGCACAAATAGCCCAGTATATTTTGGGCATACTGTGTCAATATCTAGATATCTGAAGAATGATAAGAAAGGTGGAAATAAAAAAAGAAAAGAATGACCAACAACAAGACAAATGGACTTAATAAGAGCA